CAAGATTGCGCACAAACTACATGAACTACAATAGACAATTTCTATGACATACGTATTCCTTTTTTTTTTTTTTTTATCTCAGTGTGTTACATTCATTTTTTAAATTAGCTACGTATCCTATTTTATTTCATACTACTACTACATATACATTACATATTACATTTAAACATAACATATTATATCATTTTATCTATCGACATCATCGTTAGTTAATTTTATTACAGTATTATTAATTCGCACTTCAAAGAATCATAGTCCCGTGTGATTTTGTTAGCAAAAATCCCAATATGTATTTTCATGAGATTTATGTTAGAAATATGTATTAATCCAGTAATCTGAAAATGATATGCTGATAGATTGCTTGTTATTTAAAATTGATTGGATTTTGGTGAAACGGTGCTTCAGTAAAATTGATCTGAGAGGTTTGACTAAGTTGATAAACTTTGAAGTTAAAGTCACACTTTCCTAAATTTATATCCATTCATATCATCTCTTTTTGATATTAATTAATAATTTAAAATTTTACGATCGACGAATACTAAGGAAAACACAAGTTTTTAAGGGGTCCTTTTAAAAATAACAGATCTATATATAAAAAAAATCACCTGGGGAGGAGGGAAGCCTCATATAAAATAGAAAACACGTGTTTTCTGGCCCTCCCCTAAGTGCTCATTTTAATAAATATATAAAATACGATTAAAGAATCAAACAAACAAGAAAAAAAAAAACCAAAAAAAAGGAATTACCATAAAAACATGAAATTATTCATTTTATTCCTGTTCTTATTGATATCTTTAATCTTTACAAATAATATAATAGCATCTGAGATTCATTATTCCTTTTTTATTAACGAACAAATTGAATATTGTAATAACACGGTTCAATTTCAGACTATTAAGATAATTGATAATACTACATGTGTTTTTGACAATGCAATTAATGATCCAGGATCTTATTCATGCACAAAAGAAAATAATACTGACCTTTTGCAAATCTCTACAAAAAGACCTTGCAGTATACAATGTGCTTATTTTTGGAAATTCTCACAGAATTCTAAGACAGTTGTTCATGCTGTTTATGAATGTGCAAAACCCAATAATCAAACAAATATTACCGTAAAATATTTAGATGGAATCCCCACAATACGTACTGTTTTTATCAATGTCCCGCCTGTTCCAGAAAATCCGCATATGTACTTTCTTCAATATTTTGGTGATGATTGCTTAATCTATTCGCCAATGTTTGGTTCCTCTAGCTGTTCTTATGTGCCAGAAAAAGAAATATACAATCTTACTCTATCTGATTATGAAAATAGTTATAATTTCTCTATTCCTATGAATAGTACTTCTACTGATACTCTTACAGTGCATAATGGATTACCTAAAGTGTATAACTTTCGATATAAATTAGTATGTAGAGACTTGTTAGTTTCAATATACATTATTGAGAATTCTTGTTTTGCTACCACATTTAGAGATTATAATTTTAGTACATATGATTTTAACATTGATCTTAGTTCTAGGTTTTCCAGGGAAAGATGTACTAGCCATGGTCATGTCTTCTTAACAGCATGTATTCCTCACGAATATTTCACGTTTAGCTTTGACCCGAATAATCCTGATAATATTACAAGTGATAATGATAACATTAATAACATTGTTTTTTTAAGACCTTTTCCTGACATTAATTCATATACGTCTACAGAAATTGCAATAAGTTGTTTATTTGGCGTCAATGTAGTAAATTACCAGTTGATGGTACCTCGATATAATATTTCCGAATGTATCGATTCTTATCTTGAAGAAAGATCTATGGATTCTACTGCTTTTTACAGTCAATTAGAAATAGGCCAACCACCTTCTTACCCATGCAGTGATGTTCTTGATGCTGCGAAAATTTTGTGTGAAGCTTATACAAATTATGTCAATAACTTTTTAAATTACTACTACGGCTTGATGAATGCAATTGCTGAAGTTGGCAACATTTTTACTGGTATGGTCATTGATCTTACGGCTAATCCAGACCAAAATGCTAAGAGAGATAAATTAAATGATAACAGCTGGGTAGAAATAATAATTTCCCTAGTGGGTTTACCTTCAGGAGGAGGCCAAGCTATATTAGGGGCGAAGACTTATTTAGGGTTGTTTCCATTATTAGAAACTATCGCAACTATGATATTTTCATTCTGGCATAAAGAAAATTCAGGTCCTTCTCATGATCCTCGTTTATTGCCTATTAGTTTTTACGAATTTGCAGATATTCTTTTAAGTTTTGAAGATAATTCGACTGAAATATTTAGGAAATCACTTAAGATAACTGATAATATGGTCGATAGAAATCATTCCTTATTAATAAACCAAACATTGGAAGAACTTGTAAATTTTCAAAATGTGAATAATTCAGAAGAAATTCGTCGAACATATGTAACTGAACTTAAACCAAAGTTAGCTAGATTGGTACTGAAAGCAAATGATGTAAAAATATGTAATAACTATCAGAATTATTTAAATGATTTTTGTGTTGTATCAAGTTGCAATGGAATGCGCGGGTGTCATTTTCCACCAATCTTCTGTCATAATCGCCCTGGGTATTTAGATTATGGTAATTTTATTACGAGATGGGGTTCAAACGTTAGCAATAATGTTCGTGATAATCATGCTCAACCTTCAGATGTGATATGTTTATTAAGTAATCTAAACTTTCAATGCCCTCAAGTCGAAAAAATTGAATATTATGGGGTTAGTTTATTTGATCTTTGTAATACTACAGATGCTGATGATCCTCTGGGACTTTCCAGTGTCGAATGTCATAATGATGATTTTTATTGTCATGATGGCAATAATGCTTGTTTTGGAACTTAGTAAGTATTAACGAAATTTCAATTTATTATACTTTATAATAATAATTGATGGTGATTCTATTCTTATTTTTTTTTGAAGTATTCATTGTGACCATTAATGGGTAAATTTACCGGAATTTCGAAAAGTATTTACAACTTTTTAAATAAAATTAAAATTATTAATAATATGGAATATATTTTATATATACAATATTTTATTTAAAACATATTTTATAAGCTTTATTATAAAAAAAAAAAAAAAAGGAATACGTATGTCATAGAAATTGTCTATTGTAGTTCATGTAGTTTGTGCGCAATCTTG